GGAAATTCAGAGAATCATCAGATCTTATTACAAAAGCCTGTATAACACAAAACTGGAAAATGTAAAAGAAATGGACACTTTTTTAGATAAATACGATATACCAAAGTTACACCAGGAGCAGGTGAGCAATCTAAACAGACCTGTTGGTCGCAAAGAATTAGAAGCTGTTATCAAAAACCTCCCTACCAAAAAAAGCCCAGGACCAGATGGTTTCAATGCGGAATTCTAGCAGAACTTCCAAGAAGAGCTAATACCCATACTCCTTAATGTATTCCACAATATAGAAACAGAAGGGTCATTACCTAATTCCTTTTATGAAGCTACAGTTACTCTGATACCAAAACCACACAAAGACTCAACCAGGAAAGAGAATTACAGGCCAATCTCACTCATGAACATCGACGCAAAAATCCTCAACAAAATACTGGCAAACCGAATCCAAGAACACATGAGGAAAATTATCCATTATGATCAAGTAGGCTTCATTCCTGAGATGCAGGGCTGGTTCAACATACGAAAATCTATCAATGTAATCCAGCATATAAATAAACTGAAAGAAAATAACCATATGATCATCTCATTAGATGCTGAAAAAGCATTCGACAAAATTCAACATCCATTTATGTTAAAAGTCTTGGAGAGATTAGGGATACAAGGGTCATACCTAAATATAATAAAAGCTATATACAGCAAGCCGACAGCTAACATCAAATTAAATGGAGAGAAACTTAAAGCCATCCCACTAAACTCAGGAACACGACAAGGATGTCCACTCTCTCCATACCTCTTCAATATAGTACTTGAAGTTCTAGCAATAGCAATAAGACAACATAATGGGATCAAGGGGATTCAAATTGGAAAGGAAGAAGTTAAACTTTCGTTATTCGCAGATGATATGATAGTGTACTTAAGCGACCCCCAAAACTCCACCAAAGATCTTTTACAGCTGATAAACACCTTTAGTAATGTGGCAGGATACAAGATCAACTCCAAAAAATCAGTCGCCCTCTTATACACAAAGGATAGGGAAGCAGAGAGGGAAATCAGAGAAGCTTCACCATTCACGATAGCCACAAACAGCATTAAATATCTTGGGGTAAATCTAACCAAGGAAGTGAAAGATCTATTTGACAAGAACTTTAAGGCATTGAAGAAAGAAATTGAAGAGGATACCAAAAAATGGATGGATCTACCTTGCTCTTGGATAGGGAGGATCAACATAGTAAAAATGGCAATTCTACCTAAGGCAATTTATAGATTCAATGCAATCCCCATCAAGATCCTATCAAAATTCTTCACAGATCTGGAGAGGACAATAATCAACTTTATATGGAAAAACAAAAAACCCAGGATAGCCAAAACAATCCTATACAAAAAAGGATCTTCTGGAGGCATTACCATCCCTGACTTCAAACTCTATTACAGAGCTACAGTAATGAAAACAGTGTGGTACTGGCATAAAAACAGAGAAGTCGACCAATGGAATCGTATAGAAGACCCGGATTTTAACCCACAAACCTATGAACAATATTAAGCAAGGAATGTATGCTAAATATTTTAATAAACATCCTTTCTTAAGGAGTCAAAGTCTTGCATAGGAAATGGCTTGGCTAGATAATAAAAGTACAGTAACTACAACTATACTATCTAATCTTTAACCCCATTGAAGGCCTGAGAACAGAGATGATATTATTTGAGCAGGCAGGAAGTACAATCAAGCAGCTTCCTAGTGAGCAATAAATGATGGAGACAACTGGCTACCTGAGGAGTCACCCAAAGTCTCATTTGCAACGTTGAAACAACCAACTTTGGCTAAAGCCTAGTGTAGCCGGCAGACCATTTTAGAGGCAATAATTTTTTTAGAACCTTCTTACCCTGTCTTGGCAAGATTTAACAATCTTTTTCCTTGTGTCCTGCTCATCCATTTTGGATACCTTGTGCTTTGTCAGTGGTTGAGGTATACGCAGTTCCTTGACCAAAAGCCAAGAAGAAACAAACTCTGAGTGGAGTGTCTTTGGTGCTCATCATTCTCTTGGGAATAGATTGATGCTTTTTAGAAGCAATCATGTCTCATGTCAACAGAACCCTAAGTTATTTAAATGCCATGTACTACAGCCCCTTGATGTGGTTGCTGATTACCTATCTAGACAGAATACAATCTCTATTTGTCTAAAATATCTAATTGATCTGATTGTATATAAAACAAACATGAACAACTATTGACCTATATTATTCAATACCAGCACAACTTAGAGACTAAGATTCATGTAAGAACATTAAATAAACTATAAACAAATGTGGAACAAAGGAGGACAATGAGCTTAAAATACAAACAATCTGTTAGTATCTTGATCAGAGGTAGGAGTAATATATAATGCAATATGAAAATATATCCCAAAAGGTTTATCAATATACAAAATATCCTAAACAGAGGTAGAAACACACATGTATACAATCTCACAGAATAACTTTGCATAGGTATACAAATAATATAAACAAAAATAACAAATATAATTTGAACTTGTATCAATATACAAATACTATACCAATGTAATATCCATAATATATGTACAATATATCCATAATAACATCTCACAAGTATTCACTCTATTACCCACTATTATTATTCCCCCTTTTCTGAATAAACATAGTTTTCACTCCAATCTTCTATATAGCACAAGTAATACTCAACAACCCCCCCCCCCACATGAAGACCTTTTTGGTGATTGGGGGCATCATCTTCTAGAGTTACCAGTGCACAGAGCCATTCGTCTCTAGAAACAGGGTTCGGCCAGAAGTGGGAGGAAGCAAGAGAGCAGGTGCACACTTTACAGCTGCTTTTAGAGTATCAGAGACAACACCCAAGTGGACTGGTATCTTAGAGGCTATTGGTTGGAGGAGCAGAATCTGCTACCACAGCATAATCTAATTTAAAAATGGGGTACAGATGTAAACAGAGAATTCTCAACAGAAGAATCTCAAATGGCAAGAAGTCACTTAAGGAAGCATTTAACATCCTTAGCCATCAGAGAAATGCAAATCAAAACAATTCTGAGACAGCATCTTACACCAGAAACAATGAAAAAGAGCAAAAACACCAATAATAGTTTATGCTGGAGCAGAAGGAGAATAAGAACACCTCTCCATTGCTGGTGGGAATGCAAATGTGATCAACCACTTTTGAAATTAGTATGGTAGTTTCTTAGAAGAGTAGAAATAAGCCTTCCTCAAGACCCAGCAATATCACTCATGGGCATATACCCAAAGGATGTTCAATTATGCTATAAGGACATTTACTCAGTTATGTTCATAGCAGCATTATTCATAATAGCCAGAACCTGGAAAGAACCTAGATACTCCTTAAGCAAAAATTGGATAATGAAAATGTGAGTCATGTGCACAATGGAGTACTACTCAGTGGGAAAGAAACGTATCTTAAAATATACATGTAAGTGGATAGAACTAGAAAAAAATCATGATTGAGGTAACTCAGACCTAGAAAGATAAGCATGGTATGTGCTCACTTATGAGTAGATACTAGCTGTAAAGCAAAGGATAATGAGCCTGTAGTCCCTGACCCTTGAGAAGTTAGGTAACAAGGAGAACCCTAAGAGAAACATACATAGATCCCATTGAGAAAGAGAAATAGACACGATCTGCTCAGAAAATTGGGAGTATGGGAATCAGGGAAAGGAAAGCTGAAATGGGAGGAGAAAAGGAGAAAGGAATGGGGAGGAGTATTTGAAGGAAAAAATGGTTGAGATGGGGTAAAGATGGAGACAGAAAGCAAGGAAAGAGACATTTGATTGAGGGAGCCATTATGGGGCTATCAAGAAACTAGAGAAATTATGAGAAATCCACAAGGAGGAACCCAGCGAAGACCCTAAGCAGTAGTGGAGTGGGTGCCTAAACTGGCCTTACCCTGTGGTCAGATTGATGGTTTTCTTAAATGTCATCATAGAACCTTCATTCAACAACTGATGGGAGCAGGTGCAGAGTTCCACAGCAGATAACTGAACTAAGCTCCCAAATCCGGTAAGATTTGGGGTAGTGAGAATATGAGCAGAGAGGGCAAGACCATGATGGGACACCCACTTGAACAGAATACTTAAAATAATGGGAGCCCACCAACACCAACCTAACAGTGAGGGAACCAGCATAGGATGAAACTTGGCCCTATAAATGTGGCTGGGGCAGACTGTGGAGCCACTGGCAGTGAGACCAGGATTTATCTCTACTGCTTGTACTGACTTGGTGGAACCCATTCTCTTTAGAAGGATACCTTGCTTAGTCTAGATTTAGTGGAGAGGGCCTTGGTCCCACCTCAAAGGAATGTGCTAGATTTTGTTTACTCCCCGTGGGAAGCCTTACTCTCTCTGAGGAGTGAATGGGGGATGAAGTACTGGGAAAGGTAGAGCAAATGGGAGGAGGAGAGGGAATGGAAACTGAGATTCTTAAGTAAAATGAGAAAAGATAGTTTTGTTTTTTTTGTTATTTTGTTTTTTTTTTTTTTTGTTTTTTTGGTTTTTCGAGGCAGGGTTTCTGTGGCTTTGGAGCCTGTCCTGGAACTAGCTCTGTAGACCAGACTGGTCTTGATAGTTTTTAAAATAAAATAAAATAATAAAAATTAATTAAAAAATAATATGTCACATTCAGGTTAACTTAAGAATATGAGCGGCTTTTTGATTTGGTGAGACCCTGTTTATGTTGACTTTACTAATAAAGTTTATTCAAAACTGCTCATAAACAATTCCAGTCTGTTGGAGTCCAGAGATACTTCTGTCACTCTTCATCACCACAGCTTTCCCATTTTAGTGTTTAAATACAAAAGAAACATGTAAATGCAGATGGTCACTGGATCTCAATCATCATTATTTTATTTATAGTTGCGATTTGGAAAACTTGACAAAGATCCATATTACTGTGAGGAAGAGACAGAAACATCGACACTCAGAATGACTATTTCTGAGCAAGTCCCCAGGCTAATCTTCTCTGTTATTTCAACCAAAACCAGTTTCCTTCTCTTCCATGGTTTCTGACACACTCAGGATGTGGTTGGCAACACTGTGTCTTGCACAGTAATAGATGGCAGAGTCTTCAGATGTCAGACTGCTGAGCTCCATGTAGGCTGTGCTGGAAGATGTGTCTGCAGTCAGTTTGGCCTTGCCCTGGAACTTCTGATTGTAATTAGTAACACCATTTCCAGGATAAATATTTGCAATCCACTCTAGACCCTGTCCAGGCCTCTGTTTCACCCAGTTAATAAAGTTGCTGGCAAAGTTGTAGCCTGAAGCCTTGCATGACAATTTCAGTGAGGATCCAGGCTTTACCACCTCAGCCCCAGACTGCTGCAGCTGTACCTGGGAGTGGACACCTGTGGAGAAAAAGGCAAAGTGGATGTCCCTGTCCCGAGTGCATGGTACCTCCTCAAATCTGGAACTGGAGATCCCCTTACCTGTAGTTGTTGCCACTAGCAAGAGGATAATCCAGCTCCATTCCATTGTGAGGACCTGTGTGCTCAGTGACAGTGGAGAGGACACTGACCATGTATTGTTTTAGAGTGAGGACAGCCCTGTATTTACCACCATAGATTTTCATGTTTTGCATATTTAAGAGGGAGGAACCTTTTTAGGTAAAGACCTCACCCAACTTGAGAGGAAAGAGTTAGAGTACATTGAGTTAGGTATCAGAATGCTAAAGTCCAAAGTCCTAATCCTGTCTGAGAATATCCATCCCATACAAAACCCCAAGTCCTGTGCATAACTTGGGGATAAAACATTATGACCTATGCTCTCGATTCCCAAAGATACTTAAGCCAGAGACAGTTCCTCCTCTTGGTTAAAAAACTGATTTACAGATGGTTGTGATGCTAAGAATTAAAAAATTCCTAAACTACAGGAATTTTCATTCTTCTTTCATTTACATGAAGTGATTAAATGAATTTCAGGCAGGTTACATGCTAAAAAAGCTTACTCAAATGACCAAAACTGAAAATGTCGAGAAATATTTGTACACAAATGTTGTTACAGTATTATCTATAATACATGAATTATAAAAACAAATTACATGTCTTTCTACTAATGAAAACATCAAGAAAACATGGCATTTATATACAATATAACAGAATTTTTTGTATAATATAATGCTATATATAATGTTTAAAAAAGTATAAGGAACTTACATCACTTTTAAGAAAATAAATTCAATTGGTGATAATATTATTAAGTAAATTAAAACTGTCTGAGGAAGAGATATTGTATAAGATTCTCATTTGTAGCCTTTAGATTTAGCATAGTGATAAGCAATTATGTCTGCACATATGTAATGACATAGAACTGAATGTGTCTAATAGAACACATGTAAAAAATTGAAATTGAAAGTGCTATAAAAGGATAGACAAGATGGAACTCATGGGTAAATATGTACACCACACATTATACACCTGTATGAAAATTCTAAACATAGAGAATAATGTTTTTGTTCATTCTTTGCAATGTATATTCACAAATGAAATATATTTTAATCATATCATACCCCAGTATCTTTCTTGCTCTGTTTATGACCTCTCTCCAGACATACTTATCTCTTTTGTTTTATTAATGAATAGCTCACTAATTCTAATTAGTTAATAGGTTAATTAATATGGATATGGTGGGGGTCCATCCACTAGCTCATAAGTAGCTTCCAAGTGGGCACACTCCTAAGAAAAGTGATTCTAACGTCCTAAGAAGTATTGCTATCCCAAGAAATCTCCACCTTGGAGTAATTCATAAGGAGTCCACTGTTTCAATCTTTTAAAATACCAGCCTGGTCTACAAGAGCTAGTTCCAGGACAGGCTACAAAACCACAGAGAAACACTGTCTCAAAAAACCAAAATAAAATAAAATTAAATTAAATTAAATACACTTTATTTAGTAGTGGTGGCAGGAACACATATGCCAAGGCCTATGTGAAAAACTTATCAGGCAACTTATGTAGTTCAGTTCTCTTCTTCTAAAATGTGACTATAAGAAATCAGTCTCATATTGTCAGGTTGGTCAAGAGGCACCTTTACCTGCTTTGCCATTTCAGAGATTTTCATACTGTAATTCTGACTGGCTTGATTTTGTGAAAGTCTTGTGCTGGTAACCACAGTAGCTAAGAGTTCATTTATGTGATGAGAATATGTTAATCCCTATAGATAGAATTCAAGTCTCTCAGCCTCATCCTCTGAACCTTGAATTCTTGCATTTCTCAGCTTAATCATGGTCTTTCATTTCTGGACAGACTGTGACAACAAGGCTTCTATCAATGGCTTTTCTTTGTCTCAGTACCCAGTCACCCATTTTTAGCAATTTGACCAGTTGTGAATGTCTGCATTGATCATCACACATCATACAGAAACTTCTGTGATCAAGGCTGAGAGCAACACTAATTTGTAGAAACATAAGTTTATACAGTTTATACAGATTGAGTATAAACATTAGTATTTATTAGGTAGTTTGACAATATGATCATTAGCAGTACAACTAGGATCTACTAGGGCTATGTCATTCCTATCAAAGTTATTTTAGGCAAGCTTACACGGGAGGTAGTATTTACTTTGAAACAGGGCACAGGAACACTTAGAAAGTAGTTGCTCACCATGTAAAATTCAGGCGTTTGTGGGTTCACCATGCCTGGAAGGAAATATTGGTGGCCACAAGGCCTGGTATTTTATAAGATCATTGGTGCCTTTTCTCTTACTGAAGACTACATAGCACCTTCTGTACAAGGAAATCATGCCAGGAGTAAGAATTTTCTCTTAAGTTCAAGGATAGTTTCTCCATGTCCTCCATTAAAATACTTATCTATCAAGAAAATCAAGATTAAAATAATTTTAAGTTTTTATTTTACTTCAGTTAGAATAACCACAATCAAGAACACAAATACAGCCATGGATATGGGGAAGGGTCATCCTTATTCATTGTTGATGGGAGTATAACCTGTGTAGTTACTTTGGAAAAATTTTTGGAGATGTTTTCAAAAAGTAAGAAATAGAGCTGTGATATGGACATCTATGTTTCTCCCACACGTATACTCAATTGGCTCTACATATTATTACAGAGATACTTGCACATCAATGTTGTATTGATGAGAGTTGAAAAAATGAAATCAACATAGATGCTCAACAACAGACAAATAAATAATAAAAATTTGAGACATATATAAAATGGAATTCTACTCAATGACAAAGCATTAATAATGGAATCCATAGGTAAGAGGGTGGAATTCGAAAAAATGCAAAATTTTAAAAATACATTAAATGAGATCACCCAAATAAAAAGAGACAAATGCTTCATATTCTATCTCATACATGGTTCCAACATTGGAATATATTATTTTATGTGTTTCATTTAAAAGCTCTATTGGGGTTTTAGATATTAGGGGATTGGATTCAATTAAATACATGTAAAGTGAAAGTGGTGGAAACAGCAACTAGAGACAAAGGGATCCAAACATTAAGTGGTATTGGAAAATAGAGAAGTGATGGTTTAAGGTAGGGCTAACACAATTTAAGAATTATAAAAAATGAGCATTAAAATCTAGCATCTTGCAATGTAAGTAAAAAATAAATATAAAGAATTTAGAATGTATGTGCCATGACAAAAATAAATGGTCAGCATACTGGAAGCAAAAAAGAAATGTATTGAATGATAAGACATATAAATTGTGATGTTATTTCTATAATAAAAAGTCTGGAAATAATGCATAGTTCACAGTCAACTAGTTTCACATTTGGGATATTATTCATATTGATGGAATAATTTTATGGATTCTGAGGTGATTTTATGGATCTGCTGCTACTCTATTTTTATCAAAACTTGGTAATCTAACAAAAGTTCAGGAAAAATTGAAGACGTTCAGATAAGACTTGTCGTTTACTTATAAGTACTGTATCAGTGGTCTGGTTCTGATTAAGTTCTATTATTCTGTGAGATATATGCACACTGAAAGCTGAGAAGAAAGTAAGGGGATGCTTTTTACATCTTATTTTCACTAATGAATCCCTGAACAGAGGGACTGGAGTGGTTGAACAGTTTTTCTTTTCAAAGACACAAATTATTGAACATCTCACTACTGGGTACATGATATCTTTCTATGAGTTGATGGTGAGAGAGGTCCCATGCATTCTATAAACAGTATGTGTTGTTGACATTGTTCTTGGTTGAACACACAAAAAGTCTTTAGGCCTTATTTGTGAGAAGAATTTAAATTTTGAACAAGTTGTGAGAGTCAGAAGTGTAGGTGACTCTAGGAAAACAGTGTCTTCTAGACACAACAGGAATGATGGACATAAAAATACAGAGAGGCTGTGACATCAAAGACAAGGCCTGCACAGGGTAAAGTCCTGGGCTTAATGTACTTTTGTTTATATGCCATGCTTTCTAACTCTGTATTTCTATGTTTGCTTTCTTTTGACTTGTGTGTGGGTGTGTTTCTTGTGATGCAAAGAAAAATACTCTCTTTTTTGTCTATTTGCTATATATAGAAAGAAAAGTCAGAGGCTTCTAGGTTGTTTCCAGGTTCTGGCTATTACAAATAATGCTGCTATGAACATATATGAGCACATACCCTTGCGGTATGATTAAGCATCCATTGAATATATACCCAAAAGTGGTATTTCTGGGTCTTGTGGTAGATTTTTACTCAGAATTTTCTCAGAAGTAATTACACTGGTTTTCAAAGTGGTTGTAGAAGTTTGCACTTCCACCAGCAATGAAGGAGTATTCTCTTAATATCATATTCTCTCCATCATAAGCTATGAACAGTATTTCTGATCTTGGTCTTTCTGACAGGAATAAGGAGAAGTCTCAGAGTTGTTTTGATTTACATTTTTGATGATTAAGGATGCTGAGCATTAGGTCATAAAGCAAAGAAAGAATAGACTACAGACCACATCCCGAGGGAACCTAGACAACAAAGAGGATCTTAGAAGAGACATACATGAAACTACATAGAAAGAAATAAAATACAGTGCCTCTGACTAAATTAGGGTCATGGAGGTCACAGGAGTGTATAGAAGGGGAGAGGGGAGAAAAATAAGGGAACAGACAACAATTTATACCTCAATAAAAATAACAAAAATGAAAAAAGGAAGTAAAAATAAAACCCAGAAAATGAAAAATAATACATAGTAAAAGAAAAAGATGGGTATGGAGTTGAGTGTGTGGGGAGATGGGAAGGACAGGAAGAAAATTTTTTTTCAGGGAAAATAATGATCAGAATATACTGAGTGTTTTTTTTCCCCAAAAGTAAAGATAAATAAATAGACCGAATAAAAAGTAAATATAAGTCTATGAAAAGTTAATAATCTTTTCTGTGTTTGAACATGAAAACTATACTTGTAAACAACAGCAGCTGTAGCTCAGCTAATGGTCTTGTAAATGGAATCCACAGAGGCTGCAGAGTCTTCTCTCCTCATCTCATTTCTCTCCATTGAGCCTTTTGAAGTTACATTTTTATTATCTTACACAGAAGTTTCCCTGTCTCTCTGGAGCTGAAACCT